ATCTCAGCGGTGGCGTCAGGCTCTCCCCCCGGCCAGGTTGGGGGGGCCACTCCTGAGGTCATGGGCGGAGATGTCCCCGACATGTTCCAGCCCGCGCTCTTCGACAAAGGATGCCGGGGTGGACAGTGCCACATGGACGGGGAAGAGGAGGCTGATTCGGCGTAACGCAGTTCCATTTTTTCGCAACGGACGATTTTGTCTTGTTCGGCCACGCGCAGAGAGGGGTAGGGGGAGGGGGGAAGGATTCTTAGAAGCACCCCTGCTTCTTAGAAGGCGGGGGCCTTGACCATCACTGATCGATCTGGCTCGAAAAATGCTGCAGACAGATGGGGTCCAGGGCTCCACGATGTTGTATTTTTTTCGTGACGTCGGATCTCGGCAGGGGAGGAGGACCCGGCCCCCGCCGCTCCCGTACCATCGGTGGGCAGCGTGTTTGTCGCCGAATTCTTGCGAGTGCCAGTCGGGAGCATCTAGCTGACTCCTTGGCTGCTTCCGCCGCGCCCGAGGAGAGCGGGTGCCGTTCCCGAAGCCCACCTGGACGTTCAGGATCGGCGGCGCCCCCCAAGGGGGGGAGGGTCGGCCCCGCGCAGTGGGGGGCAGGGGGAGGAGGGAAGGCTTCGTAGACGCACGGTTGATGGACAAAATCCTGCACTTTTTTTGATTTTTGTTTTCGCCCCCCAGGGCCCCCAATGTCATATTGGCAGGCTGTGGCGCGATTTGTCGATCCGCCGACTGGCCTAAATCCTGCACCCCGTGGGCGCAGCCAATCAACATTGAAGGGGGGGCAGGGGGGCGCATGAAAGTCTGCGCCGTCGCCCCGGTTGCGCGGCTGGTGCAGGATTTTGGCCATCAGCCGCACCCCTGCTGCTTGGAAGGCCCGGGCCTTCTCTACGCGTGCAGGGCCGGCGCCTCCCACGAAGCAGCCTCCTCCTGAGACGCCTTCCCCCCTCCCCCGGTGCCCCCCCCCCCCTTGGCGCGCGGGCGGGGCAGCGCGAGGGGGGCGGCCTCCCGAGAGGGCGCGCCCTGCCCCCGGGGGGTCCCCCTGCCCCCGAGGAGTCCTGCCGCGGAGGCCGCCCGGGGAAGGTTTTTTTTTGGGGGGGGGGCTCAGCTCGGGGAGCGAGTGAAGGGCAGCAACTCGGGGCTCAACTCGGGGGGCTCAGCTCGGGGAAGGAATCGTCGTTTTTGTTGGGGGGCTCAACTCGGGGAACGAGTGAAAGGCATCAAAAAACACAACAACTCTGAGGTCCGCGCTGGGGCCCCCTGGTAGCGCCTCCGGCGCCGCCCCTGGCGCGCTCCGCGCGCAGCGAGGGGGGTCCAGCGCCGATCCGAGAAATCCGCGCGGACCACCGAGTTTTTATGTTTGTGTCACCATTCTTTCCCCTATCCGCGGCCATTCTCCACCAAAAGACTGCATCTGGCGGCGGTGAGGGACACCAGCTCGAAAGGGCCCCCGGGGAAGGGGCCCGCGGCCCTCCCGAAGAGGCCCGCGGCCCCACTTGGGAAGGCCGCCTCTCTCGCCCCGCGACCCCCGCCCGGCGGCGGGCGCCAGCAGGGCCAGCGCCGCGCGAGCCGACGGGGGCGGCCGCTGGCAGGTTGCCACCTGGGGCGCGGAGGGGGCCTGGCACGAGCCTGCCGGAGCCGTGCAGTAGTTCCGAGGAGGAGGTGGGGGAACGAACAATGACGCAGACATAAAAACTCGGAGGTCCGCGCGGATTTCTCGGATCGGCCCTGGGCCCCGTGGCGGCGCCTCTGGCGCCGCCCCTGGCACGCTCCGGGCGCCAGGGAGCGGGGTCCAGTGCCGATCCAAGAAATCCGCGCGGAGCCGAGAGTTCCGTCGCGGAGGCGCCCGCCAGCAACGGCCGTTTCGGCCTGGCCAGGGTCGGCGGGGCCAGGTAGTGGATCGTCGGTCGGTGGACGTGGCTTTTTTGTTGAGATTCTGATTACCCTGCGGCGTTCCCAACCTATTTGCATTACGGTGGGGGGCGTTGGTTAAGGCTTGGAACGTGCACGGGAGGTTTCAGGCCCTGGAGGGTTCCTTATCTGATGAGGGCGGCGGTGATATCCATGGCCAATTCACGATTGGATTTCCATTGGCTTCCAGACCGTAGATTCCTGATCCAATGCTTCCTTATCCAATGCCCCCACCTAATAGTGTGGTTGATGGCAACACAGGATGTGCCATTCCTTGTGCAAGCCATGTGGGGAGCGCGCGTTGCACGACTCACGAGACAGCAACATAACGATGAGGACTGAGGCCCCAGGGTGTGGGAACGAAGGGCAGGAACCAGACCGAGTACGGACAACAAGTTAACGCGACACCAGCAGTGACGGTGAAAAGAGGAAGGGGGCGACAACAACACATGCAGGATGAGGGAGGAGGGTGGTGATGTTTGTTCCAAGAGGCACGCTGGACATTTGGCAGACGCGCTTCCGGACGGCACGGACGGCTCCAAGATGATCCGCAAGATGGTCCAAGAGGGCCACGAGTCGCCGAAAAACCGGTCCAAGACGCCCAAGATGGTCCAAGAAGCCCCTAAGACGCCCCAGGAGGCCTCCAAGAGGCCCCCGAACAAAGCCCCAAGAGTCCAAATTCATCCACTTTAGGCTTGTCAAGGATTTTCGCGTTTTCGCCTTTTCGGCTTTCCGACGCTCCAAGACGGCCCAAGAGGCCCTACATATCGCCCCAAGACGGCTTGGCACTCCCCCAAGAGGGCGCACAGACAGCCCAAGACGCCTCGAAGGCGGCACACAATGCATCCAAGACGGCTTCAGAAAGGCCCAGGAACGCCCCAAGAGGGGCCCCAGTGGGGGAGCACGGACCGACATCTCGGGCTCTCCGCCCACAGAGTCCCCCAGGCCCCCAGAGGCCCCCAAGAGGCCCCAAGCCACCCAAAGGCGCCCCGGAGGCCCCCAAGAGGCCCCAAAGAGGCCTTCAGGAAGCCCCCATAGGTGCCCAAGAGGGCCCCCGGATTGCCCCAGAGCGTCCCAGGATGGCCGGAGATGGCCCGACGGCGCGTCCCAACGTCAAACGGACAACACGGGACATACAGGCATCCTCTTCTTCGCTCTTCTTTTTCTCCCAAGTCGCGCCAACCTGTCCTCCAAGATGCCCTCCGGAACAGCCCAGGGAGCCCCCCAAGACGCCCCCAGGAATCCCCCAAGACCTCCCAGGAACCATCCATGCGGCCCTTCAAGACAGCCCGAAGGGGCAAAACTCATTGGTTATGTCTTGGTGTTTTAGGGTTTTCTGTTTTGGCACATTTTCCGCTTCCCGATTCTCCAATATGGCCGAACAGGCCCCACATATCGTCCCAAGACGATTTCATAGGCCCCCAACAGGGCGCCCAGACGGCTGCACAGGGCGCCCACACAGCCCAAGACGTCCCCAAGTCGGCCCAAGATGGCAGGCATCCTAACCGGGCCGCCGTTACACGCACGTCCCCACCCGGGGACCCCCAGGAAGGTTGCCCAAGCCTAGCAGCCTCCCGCCAGGCCCCTGAAATGCACAACCAGGGAACCGACCAAACATGCCCGACCCCTGCCCAGTCAACTCTGGACCAGTCTCAATGCCACATGCGTGCTTCTCCCACCACCTTCACACGCACGGTTCTCGCTTTGCCGGCGGCTGCCACGGTGGCCTGCTTTGCTTTCCTGCAGAGGAGCACGGACTGGCATTCCGAGCTGTCCGCCCCAGAACCACAAAGACGGAGCGTTTTCCCCAATCGCCTGCGTACGCACCGGCCCGAGTTTGCCGGTGGCTCGCATGGAGACATGCTGAGCTTACCTCGCGCGCCCCCCATTGGGCAAGTGGCTCGCATGGTGCCGTGCTGAGCTAACGTCGTCGCTCGCATGGAAACGTGCTGAGCTCACCCAAAGTAAGACTTCCGTCTCTTGACACCTTTACACGCACGGGCCTAGCAAAGTCGGTGGCTCGCATGGTGGCGTGCTGAGCTCCCCTCCCACGGCCTCACCGTTCCAAGTGGCTCGCACGGCAACGTGCTGAGCTCACTTCGTGGCTCGCATGGCCACGTGCTGAGCTCGCCCCCAATACGGCTTCTTCCCCTGCCATTTTCACACGCACGGCTCCAGCAAGGCCAGTGGCTCGCATGGTGCCGTGCCGAGCTTACACCCTCCCTCACAGGGTAATGTCCCGATCCTGCCCCACGCGTGCCTCGCTCTTTTGCAGCAACCTTCCCACCAAGAGAGCTCTGCGGCGTCCCGTGGGGCACTCGCATTTTAACGCACGGTCAGGCCTCCACCGCGAAACGGACAACGTATGCACCAACGTCTCACCTGACCTCGCCTCCCCCTGACCGGCTTCCATCCGTCGCCGTCTCGCTCAGACTAGACGCCCGGCCCCCGGGCACACCGCGGGCCTCAAGACTGCATAAGAGGGGCCCGAGATGGTCGGAGACGCCCAAGGTCCCGAAGACTGCCCAACACGGCTCCAAGACAGTCGGAGACGCCCCGACAAAGTGGCACAGCATCAATCGGACCTTCAAGGTCGGGGTTAGTGGCAATATCAGGTTCCAAGTGGTACGCTGGACAAGCAGCGCGGCCCGTGACATTTTGCCGTGGGCGGCCCGCGAGAAGGGAAAGTTGGGCGAATTTGAGTCTGCGTGCGACGTCGCTCTGCTGGACCCGCCGGAAGCCTGCGAAAGTGTCAACAGTGTCGCGGTTCGCAGCCCCCTGTGGATGGTGAGGTCGAATGTGAGTCTGCGTAGGACGCCACTGTGCTGGGTACCCCAGCAGCCCTCGAAAGATGCGACCGCTTCGCAGTTCACAGCCCCCCCAGAGATAGTGCGGTCGAGTCTGAGTTTGCGTGGGACGTGACGTCACTGTGCTGCACCCACCCAGCAGCATACGGAAGTGGCGACAGCTCCGCATAGCGCACCCCTGGGATGCCCTCCAAAACGGCGGCGGTTTTGCATGTCGCAGCCCTCTGGGGATGGTGATGTTTAGCGTGAATATGTGTAGGACGTCGGCATGCTGGTCCCCCC